GGCCCCGCCCTGCGCCTTGGTTCTGCCGTGCTCTGCGTCCCGCGGAGCTCCACCGTGCCCGGAACGGTCTGCAGGACCAGGAGCTCCCGCGGCCGGAACCCTCTGGCCCCGGGTGGCCGCTGCGGCCCGAGCAGCTTGGCGAGGAAAGATGGCCGCCCTGACGACGGTCGTGGTGGCGGCAGCGGCCACCGCGGTAGCCGGGGCTGTGGCGGGGGCGGGCGCGGCCACCGGGAGCGGAGTGGGAGCAGCGCAGGTGCCGCAACAGGTAAATCGAGACGGGCCAGAAGCCTCTCAGGCAGCGGGCGTGGGCCTGACTGAGGAGGCTGTGGGTGCCGGGGGCGGGACGGGGTCCCGGCCCTCGCCGAACAGGTGTCCTCTGCAGCGCGGTTCCGCAGGCGGGAGGCGCGGCGCTCGCCTCCCTTTGCTCGCGGCCTGGCCCACGCCCGGCGTTGTGCTTTGTTGGCTTGTGCGTTTAACTGCTTCTCCAGAGCCACCTCCATGTGGTTTTGGAATCGAGGAAAGATCTGGGTGGAAACCCGGGCTCTGCCGCTTCTTAGCCTTGTGATGAGAACATATCCTCTCCGCGACTCAATGCCTTCTGCAAAAACTGGATCCGGTAACTGCACCTTACGGAGCCGCGGTCCTTGTGTCTGGGAAGGCCCTGGCACAGTGCTTGGTTGGAGAGAGATTCGGTGCCCAGGAATTGGCTGCTTTGTTATTGTACCTGCGTTGGGAACACAAGGAGGAATAAATACGGGGTGGTCCGAGGCAGATGTGTTTCCAGAGATCTGCCTCGGACCCCTTTGTCTGGCAGCGTGGACCACAGGATCCTCAAGAATGGTTGGATCCAGTTGCTTAAGCCAAGACCTTCACTGCTCTCATTGTCTCACAGCCCACACCCAAAGCGTGGGCAATTCCTCCATGTTCTACCTGCAGAGTAAATCGGGAATCCCACTCTTCACACCTCCCAGTGCCACTGTCTTTGTCCACGCCATCATTTCTCCCGGGCCGAAATACTTTCCTAGTTGGTTTCTGTTCTAACACTCTTGTCTTCCTAAAGTATTCACAACAGCCAGGGTGATTCAGTCCAATAATGACACTCTTCTGCTCAGAACCCTCATAGTCAAAGCCAATGTCCATGGTCTACAGGGCCTGTGAGCTACCCCCACCATCTCCCTGTTAGCTCTTCTCCAGTCCCCTGCTCTAAGTTGGCTGCAACCATACCCGCCTCCTGGTTGACCCTCAGAGAGGCCTAGTTCTCTCCTACCTTATAAGCTTTGTAATTGCTGTTCCCTTTGCTTGAAATGCTCTTCCCTCCTGGTTCTATGGCTAGTTGTGTTTCTTTCACTTAACTTTGTTCAAATGCCATCAGCCCAGTGATTCTTTTCATGACCTCCCTAAACTGAATCCCCTTACCGAGCATGCCCTCTTCCCTTTTCTGGTTTTATTTTGCTCCATATCATTTATTATTATATGCTCAATTACATATTTTTATTTTTCTCCACACCTCTGCCCCCACCATGGGAATGTAAGCTGTAGGAAGGCAGAAACGTTTGTAAGTCTTATTCACTATTGTGTTCCCAGTTCCACTCTTGAGTTTAGTCCTGGAACATAGTAAGCACTCGCTAAATATTTGAGGACCAATCCAAACCTAAAGGAAGGCCGTTGTGAGCTGAGGACAGGTTCCATCCTTTTCTTCCTCTAAGGGAGTATAGCGATTTTCTGTCTTTACTTGTATGAGCTCAGGAAATTCCACCTCAGGCAAATGTTTTCACACATCCTCTGTAATTCTCTTTATTATTCTAACTCTGGCCCAAATGTCTCAGGGGGGGAAAAAAGTAAAATATATAAAAATACATAATGCATAAAATATTTTAAAGATAATTTTTAACATTTTGTTTAATGTATGATCCTAGTGGTTTAGCCATCTTTCTGGCTTTCTCCATGAAACCTTTCTGGCTTACTCTGGTTCAAATTCTTATAACCGTGTTTTGCCTCCTGGTTTGCATTTCTCACAAGTTACGTAATATTGTTATTGATGAACCTTTTCATCACTCCCTTCTGGTGATCCTCAGAGGTTTGCCTTTCCAGGGCATGGACCAAAATCACCTGTGGAGCTGTTTCAAATGTTTTATCTGTTCCTGACGTTTAGCAAAGTCTGGAGATGTTTTTGGTTGTCAGGACTGGGGCAGGGATGGGTTGTGTGGGCTACTAGCATCTAGCGAGTAGATGCCGAAGGACAGCCCCCCCACAGCAAAAAAATTATCTAGTCCAAAATGTCAGGCGTGTTGAGGTTGACACCCTGCTTTCTGTGCTCTCATCATTTTAGGGAAGGCGGAGCCTCGTAGTTGATGACGACAACAGTAACAGTAGACTCTCGAGGGTGTTTGGACTTTAAACAAGGAATTAGAATCACAGCTGTACCATATTGAGGTTTTTGAGGATTTTAACTATATGTTATCCATCTTTGGACTTCCCTCAGTATACCACACACATACCTACACACTCAAATTCTCAGCCTACCGTTGAACTTGAATATTTGTCGTATGATTGAGTGAATGAATATTCCCACTGACCCTAATAGTGAAACCAACTAATGTTTTCTTGAGGAGAGATTTTCCTGATGACAACCTCATGATGTAAGAGATGTTCACTAAAATACTTGAAAGTCCTGTATTAGTCTGTTAGGGTATACATAACAAAATACCACAGACTGGGTGGCTTACACAATAGAAGTTAATTTCCTCACAGTTCTGGAGGCTAGAAGTCCAAGATCAAGGTGCTGCCAGGATTGTTTGGTGGTGTAAGGTCTCTCCTTGGCGTGTAGATAGCTGCCTTCTCATGTGTCCTCAGGTGGCCTTTCCTCTGTGCACGCGTAGAGAGAGAGATCACCGATGTCTCCTCCTCTTATAAGGACACTAGTCCTGTTGGAATAGGACCTCACCCTTATGACCTCATTTAACTTTATTACCTTTTCAAAGGCCGTATCTCCAAATATAGTCACAAAGGGGGGTTAGGGCCTCAATGTATGAATTGGGGGGGGAACATAAATTAGTCTATAACAGTTCTTTTAAGTTATTTTGGAGAAATTATCTTTGAGGTTTTAGAAACATTTTATATTTTATTTTATTCTACAACCTCCTTAGGGTGTGGAACCCTATAAATTTCTTACCCATATTGAAAAGTAATACCATGCCCTGTCTGTCCTTTCTAATATTTGCATATTACTTGTTTTGTTTTGTTGTGTTTTCTTTTTAAGATTTATTTATTTACTTGAGAGAGAGACAGAGATAGAGAGCACGAGCGGGGAGGAGAGGGAGAAGCAGGCTCCCCGCTGAGCAGGGAGCCTGGTGTGGGGCTCAGTCCCAGGACACCAGAATCATGACCTGAGCCAAAGGCAGACGCTTAAATGACTGAGCCACCCAGGTGCCCCAAGTATATTATTTGTTGATAATCCCCCTCACTATTGCCTTTCAAGACTGAAGACCACAAATCTCTCTACCTTCCTCTCAAATGCCATTTCCCTCTTAATCATTTTAATACTTGAATTATGAGTTTTTAAAGGTATTTCTAACAGTGTCACACTAATGTATGGCTCTGCTTTAAACCGTGATAGGGCTGTGTCTTCTGTTTTGTTTTGTTTGTTAAGTGAACTTCCCTCTGACGGCCTACATGTTAGGGCCCTTGGCTGCTTAGAGTAGTCCTTCAGTAATAACTACATTCCTTCTCTGACTTGACATGATTATTCACAAGGAATTTCCTCTAGAAGATCACACACATGCATAGGGTTATGTCCATGTTTAGGTGTGGTAGGCTGAATAATGGCCCCCTCAAGCATATTCACATTCTAATCCCCAGCACCTGTGACCCTGTGACCTTGCATGGTTAAAAGGGACTTTGCAGATGTGATTGAATTAGGTATCTTAAAATGGGGAGATTATCCTGGATTATCTGTGTAAGCCTAATGTATTCACAAAGGTCCTTATAAGAGGAAGGCAGAAGGATCAGAGCCAGTGGTAGGAGATGTGACAAGGGAAGCAAGAGGATGCAGTGATGTGAGGAAGGGGCACGAGCCAAGGATGAAGGTGGCTTCTAAGAGCTGGAAAAAAGTGTGGAAGTAGATGCTCCTCTGAAGTCTCCAGAAGGAGCACAAACCTGCCAACACCTTAATTGTAACTGGGCCTCCAGAACTGTGAGAGAATAAATTTGTGTTGTTTAAGCCAGCAAGGTTGTGTTAAACTAACCTGTAGTAAGTAGTAGGAAACCAGTACACCAGGGAGGATCTGAGAAAGCCCTAAGCCTTCATCTTTGGCTGGCCTTGAAGCTCTGCGCAAGTGACGAAGGCTAAGGTTGACTTGCAAACTGCCTGCCTCCATGTCGAAGCTTCATGTCCTGGTATGCACACAGACCCCCTCAGCAAGGGCTGGGAGATGTATTGGTTCACGGCAGCTAGGAAGACCTCTGACCAGTCAACCATTAGGTGACAACTGAGCTAACCAAGCAGAGGTTTCAGTGCCACACAAACAAACAATAGAGACTTTGCAGAATCAGTGCAGGAAGTTGACTAAACAAACGGCAACAACAACAAAGCTTGGGGTTGGAAGAGAATCTCAGTTTCAGAATTAAATTATGTTTTCTTAATATAATTGTTATATTTATAATATAATATAATAATTATATAGCAATATAATATTTAATTATATTAACCAAATTATAGTTTTTAAACATCAAGTTTTTAACAAAAAAAAAATGAGACATGCAAAAAACGAGGGAAGTATGGTTCACACACAAGAGAATTTTTTTTTTAAGCGGTAAAAAGAAGCTATCTCAAAAGAAGACTAGATATTGGAAATAATAGACAAAAACTTTAAATAAGCTGTTTTAAATTCATTCAAAAAACTAAAGGAAACCATGGCTACAGAACTAAAAGAAAGCATGAGGATAGTTTCTCACCAAATTAAAAATACCTATAAGGAGATTTAAATTGTTTTAAAAAATCAAATAGAAATTCTGGAGTTAAAAAGTACAAGAACTCAAATGAAAAGTTCATTAGAGGGCCTCAGCATCTGATTTGAGCTTCAAGATTCAAGGAAACTTGAAGATAGGCCAATTCAGATTATCCACACTGAGGAACAGAAAGAAAAAAAGAAAAATGAACAGAGCCTCAGAGTCCTGTGAGACATCATGAAGGTCATACATACCGAGAGTCTCAGAAGGAGAGGAAAGAGAAATGGGGAGGGGCAGAATATTAGAAGAAATAATGGCTGAAAACATCCCTAATTTTTTTTTAAGTAGGCTCCACACCCAGGCTTGAACTCACAACGACCCTGAGATCAAGACCTGAGCTGAGATTGAGAGTCAGAGGCTTAACCGACTGAGTGACCCAGGTGCCCTGAAAACTCCCCAAATTTGATGAAAAATATTAATCTACATATTGTTAGAGCTTGATGAACTCCAAGTAGAGTAAACTCAAGAGATCATACCTGGACACTTCATAATCAAACTGTTGGAAGACAAAAACAACAAAAAACTTGAAAGCACCAAAAGAGAAGCAATTCGGCACATACAAGGAATCTTCAATAAGATTAACAGCGGACTTTCTCATCAGAACCTTGGATTCCAGGGGCGCCCGGGTGACTCAGTCGTTAAGCGTCTGCCTTCGGCTCAGGTCATGACCCCAGGGTCCTGGGATCGAGCCCTACATTGGGCTCCAGCCCTACATTGGGCTCCCTGCTTAGCGGGAAGCCTGCTTCTCCCTCTCCGACTCCCCCTGCTTGTGTTCCCTCTCTCACTGTGTCTCTCTCCATCAAATAAATAAATAAAATCTTTAAAAGAAAAAAAAAAAACCCAGAAACCTTGGATTCCAGAAGGCAGTGGGATGACATAGTCAAAGTGCTGAAAGAAAAGGACTGTCAACCAAGAATTCTATGCCCACCAAAATTATTCTTTAAAAATGGAAAAATTAAGACATTTCCAGACAAACACTAACATATGCCAGCATATATGCCTTACAGGAAGTATTAAAGGAAGTCCTTTAAACTGAAATAAAAAGACTACATAAAAATTCAAATCCACATGAAGAAGAGGATGAATAAAGAGTACTGGTAAGTAAACAGGGAGGTAAATATAGAAGTCAGTATAAATATATTTTTTTGTTTCCTAACAAACTTTTTTCAGAATATAGAGGAGGGAACATTTTTCAACTCATTCAACATTTTTCAGCTCATTATTTTTACCCTGATACCACAATCAGACAAAGAAAACACAAGAAAGAATATAACAAACTAGTATTTCTTATGAATATAGATGCAAATTTCCCAACAAAATACTAGCAACCCAAATCTAACAACATATGAAGAGGATTACATACCATGATCAGTTGGGATTTGTTCCAGACATGCAAGGTTAGTTCAGCACATGAAAATCAATCAGTGTAATACAACTTATTAATAGAATAAAGGACAAACGACATGATCATCTCAATAGATGTAGAAAGAGCAATTTACATGATCCAACACCTTTTTGTGATTAAAACAAACATTCAACAAACTAGCAATGTAAGAGAACTCCTCAGTCTGATACAGGCATCTATAAAATGCCCACAGCTGATTTAATGGCAAAGGATTAAAAGCTTTCCACAGGGGCACCTGGGTGGCTCAGTCAGTCAAGCATCTGCCTTTGGCTCAGGTCATGATCTCAGGATCCTGGGATCGAGCCCCACGTCGGGCTCCCAGCTCAGTGG